AAGAGAGTAACCAAATAGTAATTCTACAATGTAATAAACAGTAGTAATTACATTGCCACTATTGCCTACGTAACATTGTTTTCACAAATAATAATTTTATTTTTTGTAATATGGGGGCCCTGGGGGTTTAACGCTCTCGCTTAAACCGGTGAGGGCCTGGGTTCGTTTCCCCCACCCAGAGTAGAAAAGGGGCGTGTTTTTTTCCAGTTGTTATGTTCCCAAGAAAAAAGGGGTCCCTGGGTGTTATCGATGGTGGGGGTGTTCCTGGGACACTGACCTAAGGAGGCCTGGTCACAGCCGGGCCGGGGGGGGCGTGCCCCCCGGAACTCTTCCAGGTAAACACCTAAGTTTTTTAGTAATGAAATTTCCAATTTATTTCCCTTTTTCCCATCATCTAACCCCTAAAGGTCCAAGCGTTACGTTCCGTGTAGTGTCCAAAAATAGATCTAGTTTTTTTTATTTTTTTCAAAATAACAAAAAAAAAAATTGATCAAAGTTTTTTTCACATTTTTTAAAAGTAAAAAAAAAAAAAAAAAAAAAAAGAAGATCTCTTTTTACATACTTTCAAATGTTTAAAAAAAATTAATATGTTTGGGCCTTTACGGGTTAACTATCACTTATAAATCTTTTCCCCCCCCCTCCCCCTCAGCTTCAGTCATTCTTTTTTTTTCCCCATTTCCTTCATCATTTAAAATTCACCTTCTTTTTATAAAAGTTAATTTCTTTCTGAAGGGGGGGGTTTCTTTCTTAAAATTAAAAAAGCAAAGAATACCCAAAATTTTCTCCACTGTATTAAGGGTCAAAAAACTTAAATATTTGAAATATAAAAAAAGGGGAAGTTAGAATTTCAAAGCCATCAAACTGACCATTGACAATATCTGTGCAAGATGTGTGTCCAAAAGCATATACTGGATCTAGAGGCCTCCTGGTAGAGAATTCTATGGAGCTGCTAAAAACGTATTTAATCCTTTCACCGCCAAGAAAGTCACTTTAAACCAAGCAGAGTATCTCTGACTGCAGAAGCCATGATGTCATTGACCTCCAGAAAAACTTTTTTGAAAATCCTGCTCTGTGCTATGGTGACGCAAGAAACAAGAGGTGAAATTTCAGTCTGACTGGTGTTACAATATACAAGACAGTTAAGGTCTGAATGTTTGCATTTCTCACCTAAGCAACTCACCCACATATGTAATCATCCTCTTAATCCATTTAAAAACACTACAATTATATTTTCAATGATAAATAGTTGATTTTTTTTTTATAAGTTTAGTTGATATAAGCCTGGTGAAAAAAAAAAAATATATATACAGGTCTCCCCTACTTTATGCAGATTTGCCATATAGGAATTCATTATTATGCTATGTCCTGCTACTTTCAGTAACTCTGCATCTTCAATTTATGGTTGCTGCAAGCAATCAGCACTGTTTTGAAAGAATATTCAAGTTTTATTTCGAGTCATTAAGTATTTATGGACTGACTGATCTAAGTGCAGATGCTAAGGGCCTGGAACACATCTACAGCATCAAGTGAGAGGTGCTTGTCATGTAAGTTCATGATTAAATGAAGTGAACACCAAAGATTATCTCTCTTCCACTCTCACTCTCCTGTTGCTTCTCCCTTCACCTGACTCACAAGCCTCAATTCACTTTAGCATGCCTCACTATCACTGGTTTTGGGTTTAGTGTAGTTTAGTCTGTGATTATGCTTTTTAAAAAATGTTTTCTAATTATATACTGCCTGGAATACTTTTGGCCTTATTTGTCATACCTAGTTGAGGATCCTTTCATACAACAAAAAATTATTTAAAGATTTTAGAAGAAACAAATACAGTGGACCCCCGCATAACGATCACCTCCGAATGCGACCAATTATGTAAGTGCGTTTGTACGTGTATGTTTGGGGGTCTGAAATGGACTAATCTACTTCACAATATTCCTTATGGGAACAAATTCGGTCAGTACTGGCACCTGAACATACTTCTGGATTGAAAAAATATCGTTAACCGGGGGTCCACTGTACTAGAAATAAATCCTCCCCTCTCTAAAAAAAAGTATTGCAAATGCTCATATACGAAATTTCATCATTTTCATGGAGAACTGACACTAGCTGGGGAAGAGCCGAGTGATGCATGATGCGGTGAAAGGGTTAAAAATCTTATTGGTGACCAAACTGAAGTAGGTTGATGGTAATAAGAACCAATCATCAATAAAAAATAAATATATAGCAGCCCCACTGGCCTCCACCTTCCCTGTAAAATTCATGCAAAAAAACATTTGCTGGCAAGGTGATGCCTTATTCTTCTGGAAATGTACACGAGTAATAGATTTAAGGAAAGGGAAACGAAAAAGACCATTACAAAGGTCCAGGCTTATAATATAGTGAGCAATGCAACTAGTAAACTCTGATAAAGCTAACAAAGGCTTCCACTTAACCAGAAGAATGCACCCTTGCCATTGCATAGGCTGCTGTACATGCTTGTGGTTTTCAATTAGTTCCTCACCCTCAATATTTACGAGGCCTGGTTCTCGAGTTCCATCGGTTTCCATATCTGAAAGAACAGCTTCATGGGGGCGGGATTCGGGAATACTTAAGCACTAGGGAAACTTACAGGTAGCTAGAAGTCCAAACTTCTGACTTCTCTGAGAAGGCGATAAAGGCCACCAAGCATTGAAGGGCCAAGTGTAACAAGCTTAAAGGAAGACTATGTTAAAAATTAACAATCAATATGACAAAATACCCAGTCCCTTTAATATGGTTAGATTTCACAATTATCAAGATATCCTATGCTTTTCAAGAAGCTTTACACTAAAAGCTAAACTTAATATTGAATGTTAAGCCTTAAATAAGATTTTGGTGAGTAATACATTAAGTTAAAGATTATATTTTCTAAAACTCTGTACTGACTGCAAGAATTAAACACTTGCACAAAAAAAAAAAAAAAAAAAAAGGGAGGGGGGGAGGAGAAAAATGTTAACCACAAGCGAAAACGTTCTCTGGCTTTAAGTGAACCGCATAAAACCAAGCTTAAATGTTTACTTTTATCATCACTTTTAGCTGATTTTTAATATAACAGAGCAATTGCTATATTGTACATCACTAAATTCCTGAAAACCTGGGTCTAGTTTATTGTATTAGTTTGACTGAGCAAGGTATCCTTATCCTCCTATCCCAGTATACCTCACAATACCTGTTATTAACACAGTAATCATATACCTGTACACCACAGTATAATGCCTTCTTTTACCTCCTGTCCCTTTCACCTATTACCACCACCACTCCCTCAATCTCTTCTAAAGCATACACATAAAATTAAGATTTTTTTAACACCATTTGCAAGCAAAATCAAGCACCAAATAGAAAAATATTTAAATTTACACTGAAGGGCCACAAGAAGGGTTGTAGGGAGGGTGTGAAGGAGGGTTTAAGTGGTCGGAACTTGAGCATCCAGTAGGCATGTGTGAGCATGTTCGATAGGGTTGAGAGGAGCCAAGTGATTTTAGGGATTTGACATGCTGTTGGAGTGTGAGCAAGGTAACATTTATGAAGGGATTCAGAGAAACCAGTTAGCTGGAATTAAGTCATGGAGGTAAAAGTAAAAGTACTGTGCATACACTCTGAAGGAGAGGTGGAGATGGTATAGTTAGGAGGGTCACTTGAACTGAGATGTCTATGTCCTTCTGGCAAGACAGCTACTGAATGAATGATAATAAATGTTTCCTTTTTTTTTTTTGGTTGGGTGGGTGGGTGGGTGGGGGGGGGGGGTGATCCTACCTTGGTGGATGCCCAATGTGTTAGAAATTCACACAAATACACATCAATCAATTTAGAGACTGGCCCATGGCAGGCTGTGAGAGTAGCGAGACTCAAAACTCATCAAAGGTATACACATTAATTAAGAGATTTTGCAATACCACTAGTTTTGGCTAATTAAGAGTCAGAGTGGAAGTTTGGCAATGAACTCTTTAGGGAAATCACAGAATCCAGAGCACCCAGTTTCTTTTTCCAGCATCAAAAGTATTACAATCCCAGGCTCATAACCTACCTCTTCAGGAGCAGGATGAAAGTTTATATAGTTTATATATACAGCAGTGTGTTTGTATGTAAGGTTCAATTCCACTACATTAAACTAGATATATGGGGGGGGGGGGTATCTATGACATCTTCGCACAACAATTTTTTCTTAATGCTATGCCTGACAAAATCAAGCATAGTATTAAAATGTTTATACAAGCCTGTCATACATAATTTCCCTCTAAGTTTAAGCTTTACACTATTTACATGTTGTCATATTAGATGCCTTTCAGGATGTGGTACATGAAACATGGATGGAGGTGCAACACAAAGATCATGACTTTTTTTAATGAAGGATCAAATCTCTTATAATTCAAAGACATTTAATTAATGGATTGTGGGAAATATGAAAAGCCTATGACTTTTGCATAATATATATAGACATGCACGTCGTGCCTGGCTTCCCAGGTGGACGTAAGCATATACATACACTTCGTGGCAGGTTTCTTAGTTAAACTGCTTACAGTATTCCATGGTACTATTAAGAGTAAGGCAAGACCATGTGGATCAACACAAAATTAAAATCATTTTGTAAAAAATTACCGAAAACTAGTGCCCCACAAAAACAAAAAAGCTCTAAAAACTGTTGAAATGAGATTTACAAAATTAAAATTTATATAGTACATTAGTTGAGCAACTATCTAAAACCAATTTCTCTTATAATTAGAAATGTTTATTGTGACTGGTATAATTCTGCTTATTCACTGTTGCTCATATCAGAGTTGCCAAATTTTTAATATAATGTTCTGCTTTATGAAGCTACAGAAGTATGTAAGTTTCAAATGATTTTAAAGATGCATTTACAAGATATTTCTGTAATGCACTACTGTTATTGCAGCACAAAATAATTATAATGCAGTATGAAGAGTACATATCCCAAAAACTACTGGCGATTCAAAGAGCACTTGAGATTTAGATACATATCTTCCTGTGGTTTGTTATTCTCCCGCTTTTGCCATAATATGCGAACTGACCTATAGTTTCAAACTGAAGTGGAGCAGAGGTTTGTTTAAATGGATAAAAAGTAAAAAACACCATTGTGTGGGCAGGCATGCTAGACCTATTCAGAGGGATTGGTGTGCTGCACTGATCCTTCAATGCATCACACTTAAAAATCCCACTACCATTCTGGAGGAGGAGGACCATAGTGAGCAATGAGGTACACTACTGAATACATTATATATAAAGTGAGAACAATCAGAACTGAAGAGTAAACACAGGTACAAAGCAAATTTTCTGACAATTTTTTTTTATCTGATCAGTCTTCATAAAGCTGTACACAAAGCAAAATGTCACAACATATTTTTTATATGCACCGTAGTCTCTTCTTCATTACTGTCAGCACTATGGCTTCGTATCCAGAAACACAACTACTCGAGATAATATCTAATTATACCTAGTAATGCACATGATTGATAAACTAACCCCTTAACCCTTTGAGGGTTTCGGACCCAGGGTTTTTGACGTACTAGTACGCCTAAATTCTAGCGCCCTCAAATCTAGTGGGAGAAAGCTGGTAGGCCTTCATATGAAAGAATGTGTCTATGTGGTCAGTGTGCACAGTCTAAAAAAAAATCCTGCAGCACACAGTGCATAATGAGAAAAAAAAAAAAACTGACCATTTTTTTGGAATAAAACACAGCGACTTTGCACTGTATTTTCGTATGGTATTTATTGTTGTATTCTAGTTTTCTTGGTCTCATTTTATAGAATGGAAGACATATTACAGAAATTGAGATGATTTTGACTGGTTTTAAAAATAAAAAGGTTTACCTTGAAATTGAGCTCAAAGTAGCAGAAATGTTCCGATTTTTACCAAATTTAAAAAGTAAAACAAATCGTGCCAAGCGTGCAAAAACACGTCAACTGGCGGGGTCTTAATATTCTTTCACAAAGTGCACCAATAATATTTATTACCATTTTTTACACTAACCATAGTAGTCTGCATAACAGTAAATCTTATATTTTTTGTGAAAATTTAAAAATTCAAGTGGAAAGCAAAAAAATTTTGAGGGGCCTTGAAGGACGTGACTAATGACCAGAGGAAATGTCATTTTAGTCCCAGGAATGTCTTTATTGTTTATTCTGGACCCAATTCGGAAATTGGCATCTTTTGAAAATTTTGTGTGAAATTGGCAAAATTTCCCTAAATTCTGACCACTGACTGGATAGTTGAATTTCATAAATGGGTGGTTTCTTGCACCCATTCGATAGAAAAAAAAGGGGAATTCTAGCGAAATTTTTTCATGTTTTTTGTCGACTAGTACAGTGGAATTGGCCGAAAATGGGGCTCAAAAGTGGGCAAAATCGCCGATGCGCAACCATCGCCGGGAGACCGCTAACTTTACGAGAGCTTTAATTCCGTAAGTTTTCCATCAAATTTAAAAACTTTTGGTGTCCTTTATGGAAAAGGGGAAAAGATTCTCTATCTTTTCAAAAGTTTAAAATAATTTTTTTTTTTAAATTTGGCCGACCCTGAGAACGAGTTTCGGAGAGGGCCTGTCGACCCTCAAAGGGTTAACTGTGGCACATCCTGGAAATAAATTTAGTGTGGGAGAAAATAAATAATAAAAAAAAAAAAAAAATTGAAAGTGCCTTATTTTGAATTAAGTAAGACTAAAATGAGTGGAATGCGATGAAAACTTTAGAGTTTATGGTGTGTTGAAGTTTGCAGCAACAGCAGTATATATGTGCCAGCAACATTCATTCACATTTTATAATTTGACACCAAATTACGATTTTGAGATTTTTATTGTCGTAATGTTAAACACCATGTACACTAGTTTCTTCTGATATTAGATGTGTTTCAAAGTGTTTTAGTAATTTAAACTTTGAGAAACACTTAGCCCAACAGTGCTCTACTTCGAATATACTAATATTATAAATTGGTGCAAATAATTGTTTTTTCTATTTTTTACCACTTTGGTCTTCTAATACTCTGTATAGAGAATGCCTATGATGTTCAATTGTTTCAAGGTGTGTGTGTGATTCTGCTCAAAACCTGGAAATAAGTCACTGACTATACTGGGTTATCGTAGGTTAATTATTTTTTAACGATGGCCCAAAAAAGATGAAACTAGTTTTTCTTCTTTTTACATTTAGTAATTTATACAGGAAAAGGGATTACTAGCCCCTCATTCCCAGCATTTCAGTCGCCTCTTGTAATATGCACGTTTTATGGAGGAAGAATTCTTCTCCACTTCCCTATAGAGCAGATTAATTATGTATATTATATTTAGATTCAAGGTAATGTCCTGGGTTACAAAACCCAGGACATTCCCTTGAATGTCCTGGGTTACAAAACCCAGGACATTCCCTTGAATGTCCTGGGTTACAAAACCCAGGACATTCCCTTGAATGTCCTGGGTTACAAAACCCAGGACATTACCTTGAATGTCCTGGGTTACAAAACCCAGGACATTCCCTTGAATGTCCTGGGTTTTCCCTTATACTTAGCTGTTTCCTGATTTATCACATTCTGATTTGTTACATTTTAAACCACCTCTAACATTTTGAATTCCATTTTTTTTTTCCCTGCTTTCATTGATCAGGAAACAGGATAAGCATTTCGTGATACAGGTGTCAGTCATGTGATGACCCACTAACTGGAGCTTTTAGTCATACAACCAGGGCCTCCTGCTGGCTTACTGGTTCACTCAATTAAAAATAAAGATCACATGTTATATTTGTTTAAAACAAAATTTAACTTTTTCAATTACAGTATTATTTACCATAAGCACTGATTTGCTCTGATACTTCAATGATTTGAATTCCTTGCTGTCTGCAGTCATAAAAAATGCAAATCTTCATTAAATTATAATTTTAATTATATTTTCCATAAAGTCCTCTTCCAAATTAAACACTGGGACACATGTATACTCAAAACTTGCCACTAATTAAAATATGATGCAAGATTGTAGATCTTTTTCTGCAGTGTATATTGCCACCAATGTGTGCACCTGGCAAGGAAACATCTTTACTAAGTGCTGCAAGGCAGTCAATAAAATAACTGCAATACAAACAGTCCAGCTAAACACTTCCTCCACAGGTAAGTGTTGCTGCAGTGAAGGAATGGTTAAGCAAGGCAAATGCAAATGAGCAATCTATTATAATGTGATTTAAGGAACTTGCCACTTGTTCAACTACAGCAAGACTGAGGCATTGGTGTCACAGTGTGACAAATACTTAAGCAGTTCTATAATCACTGGAAAAGTAAAGTGTTAACGAGTTCCAAAGCCTTATTAGTGGCTATGAGATATGGCTGGAAAGACTGGAAAGGGAGTGGTGAAGGTTTTGAATGATAAGGTCATGAACACCCCGGAGGCATGTGTGAGAAAATGTTGAATCAAAGTTAGCAGAGACAAGTGGTTTTTGGGATTTGACATGCTGTTCAAGTGTTAGCAAGGTAACATTAGTGGAGGGGTTCAAAGAAACCACTAAGTCAAACTTGAGTCCTGAGGGTGGAAAGCACAGCAGTACTTGTAATCTGAGGAATGGATGGGTATGTTACAGCACAAGAGAAAAGGATACAAATAGTGTACTACCAACAACACTAAAGAAAAGGCAAGCTGCAGAACAAGCTTTTACTGAGACAAAGTTTTCTTCTTAAAATGAAATGCTGCTAAAATAAAAGCATAATCTGCAGCGCATCTTTCCTTCAATTCATTTAAAAGGGTCATTTGAACTGTCATGTCTTTTTACTTTTGACAAGACAGTTAATAAATGAACGACAGTGAATGTTTCCTTCATCAGGTCATCCTACTTTGGTGGGAAACTGCAATTAAGGTATAACAACTGTATATGGAAAAATGTATTTGTATAAACTGCTCACCTTATTTATAGAAATTTCACCATGTAAATAAGCCAAGCTACCAAGCTATTGACAGTGCCAATTCAATTACAGTACTGTATATTAAATGTCTGCAGTGTCTGTCCATTTGCAAGTAATGAAGACAATAATACAAAATTCAGTTAGATAAGAGGCAGAGTTTATGGCTATGTATGTTTTAGTGTCCTTAAAAAATTATTTCCCTAAATTTTATTTACCACTGAAAAATTAACATTTTAAACCATTAAATCATTTTTAGAAAATGCAGTACTTCTCATCCAAGTAAGCAACTATGCTAAAAATCTGATTTCATGATTATCCATAATTCAATGTTTTAGTTAGTTAAATACAATACTAAAAACCCTCACAAAACTACAAACTCACCTAATTCTTTGTCATCGCTGTCTATTACAGATTCATCTTTAGCAATGAGGTCAACTAGCCCCTTTTTCTTTTTAGGCTTTTTCTTCTTGGCTTTACTGAAGTCCATGTCAAGATCAAAGTCATCAACTTCAGCTGGTTGAATTGTGACAGGATCCCGATCATCTCCAGAAGTAACGCCACTTTCCTTAGTCTCTGGCAATGCTTCACTTAACTCATCTAAATTAAACATTTTTTTCTTCATCTTCTTACTCTTCTTTTTTCCAAACATTTCCATATCTACAAGAAAAAACAATATTACTATTTTATCCTGCAAATAACCTGCACACAGGAGACAAGTTACGATGATGCTTCAGTCTGACTTGGACTACTAACTAGTCACTAGTTAATAGTCCAAGTTGGACAAAAATGGCATCATAAGTTTTATTATGCAATGTGTGAGTTTGTGTGTGTATTGTTCCAATCAAGGTATTGTGCCATTTTTTATTCTTTACTATTTTATTGTTTGTGCTTCCTTCCCTGTTAGAAAATGGATCAATAAATAACAAAAAGGCACAATACCGTGACTGGAACGATACACAAATAACCCGCACATAAAAGACAGAAGCTTACGACGACGTTTCGGTCCGACTTGGACCATTGACAAAGTCAATGGTCCAAGTCGGACCGAAACGTCGTCGTAAGCTTCTGTCTTTTATGTGCGGGTTATTTGTGTAAAATGGATCAAGTATAATGGAGATATAACTCAAGCACACTAGTAACCCACATGGTGAATTCAAATGAAAAAATTCTTCTAGACCCTTAAACTGCTTCAAAATAATTAGTCACACAAAATTAGCGGATTAGGCAAAGTTAGGGCTCCAGTCATGAATCACTCTGTTGCACATTACTGTACATGTACTTGTAATGATACCTTAAAAGCCTAAACTAACTTCTCAATTTTTTTTTCTCAAATTCAGTATTGGATTATTAAACACTTTTTTGTTTCAACAGAAAAAAAAAAAATACTGTCCATTCTGTGCTATATATACAGTACAGTGGACCCCCAGTTTACGATATTATTTCATTCCAGAAGTATGTTCAGGTGCCAGTACTGACCGAATTTGTTCCCACAAGGAATACGTATTGTGAATTAGATTAGTCCATTTCAGACCCCCAAACATACACATACAAACGCACTTACATAATTGGTCGCATTGGAAGCTGATCGTAAACCAGGGGTCCACTGTATATGTATGTATTACTCAACAAATTATTGGTTTTAGCCGAATATTAATTAAAATGCACAGCAAGCTCTCACTGGAGTTTTGTGTGTTTTATGGACCATACTGTACACAGTACCAGGTCAAGTGAATAGGCCACAGGGTGATGATCCCGGCACAATCTCCAGGTTGTTGTCCCGACAAATTTGCTGTTGGGTGTTACTTTCAAGATCCCATGGAACTAAATTGTTATGCCTGCGTAACAAATTTTATTTCAGATATGGCTTCATTTGATGTTTCAGAGACTATATAAAATAAGATGTTGGAATTTTTAACCTGGGAAAGGGTTAGCCCCCAGGATAACCCAATAAAGTCAGTGCATCATCGATGACTGTCCTATTTCCACTGGGATCCTTTAATCTTGTTCCCCAGGATGCAACCCACACCAGTCGACTAACAACCAGGTACCTATGTTTTGCTAGGTGAAAAGAGACTGCAGATGTAAGGAAACATGTCCAATATTTCCACCCATACCGGGGACTGAACAATGGACATTCAGAATGCAAGATGAATGCATTGCCAACCGAGCTGCAGGAGACTGTATCTCTAATACAACGATATATCACTCTAATTTGGTTATTATTGACATTCATAAGAATGAACAACTAAAAGAGATTTAGTCAGGAAAACCATGGAGCCACAAGAATACTGGATAACTGACTTTATTCACTGGCTGTCCATCAGTAAAAACATTAGAGAATTGAAACCCACAAACTTGCAGGGACGATTATACCATAAAAAAATTCCTACAATACTGAATCTTGTCTACTATTTTGATCAATAAGTACCTTCATAACCTCTTTGATTTTACAAAACAAAATCTTGTCGAACTTTACTTTCTCCTTACCATCTGTTTCAGGTGTGCTCTCCTTGACTTCAGGAACTTCTCCATTTTCTGGAGTGGGTGCAGGTTCAACAGGAAGGGTGCCACTGCTATCTGCTAAGGCTGCATCAAGATTAAACCCAGTCTTCTTCTTTTTCTTTTTCTTCAAGCTGGGATCAAAGATCTGAAATAAATTTGCTCATTTTCAGTAAATACAAGTGTTACAACAGATTGTTATAACAATGTACAATTTTTTTCCTAGTAAATTTGAAAATACTGTCTTGTAATTTAAATGCTACATTAATTAAATGTGTAGGCTGTTAGTTCCATGTGTACACAACTTGTCAAACTAAACATACATTTTAACTAATATAGCGCTCTAATCTAGGTAAGATAATATAGTAGAGGGCCTTGCTTATACATCAAAAATTGCTGTAAAGTGAAATATAGCCTTTTTTCACTTTCACATGCATATAAAAACCTGATAACATGTTTACTCTATCATATATTGAGTAATAGAGCTAGGCTAAAAATACATAAGCAGAATGCACATTACTTACCCTAAAGTATTTTCCTCCTTAGCTTATTGTGAGTGGTGAATATGTATATACTATATTGTAGGAAATACTGTATGAATAAATGAAAAATGAGTATAACTGAAAAGCAGGGCCCTCCTGTGTATGTACTGTACAATAATACAAGATTCTGGAGAGCAAATGATGAGATGGGTGCAGACAATGTACAGTGGGGTGGTAATGCAGATACACATGACTGAGCAGATGGGGTGTAGTAGAAACATTGAGAAGGGTCTATGTCTAGGTTGTCAGGTGTCATACTGCTAACATATACTGCATACAGCAACCCTTTCTAACATGTCATACTGCAGGTATGTACTGCACACAGCATCCCTTTCTAACAGGTTGAGCATGACAAAATCTGAGTTAAAAAGTTCTTGACATGGAGAAATGGGTAGGTATGAATCTGGGGTTGCCCGATCATAACAGTGATGGTGTAATTGTTGAAAGTTTGCAAGATTACACATGTTAATGAATAGGAGGAGGCATGAAGAGATGCAAAGGAAAAACTCTGAAATAAACTTGTCCAGAGCAGAATCAAACAGGGTGTGGGAATTAAGGACTTACATTTTGAGTTCATATGAACAAAAATGATCACGCTATTTATGATAATACAGTGGTACCTCAGGATACGAATTTTTCTCGTTCCAGAAGGCAGTCCGAGTGCTGATACTGAACGAATTTGTTCCCATAAGGAATAATGTATATCAGATTGATCCATTTCAGACCCCCAAAAATACACTTACAAAAGCACATACATAAATACACTTACATAACTGTTCGAGTTTTGAGCTGTTCCTATCCTGAGGTACCACTGTATATATTGTAACCTTTTTCATTTCTTATAACTTTCTTTACTGTATGCATATGAACTTTAGGTAGTTAGTTTGTTTAATATCTTTATTACGCACCCCGTACCCTTCTTGTGGGCAGTAGTCAAAGGATTAGAGAGGTACATAATGGGTCCAGGGAGTGAGCCCCAAAGTTTCGATAGCTGAATAAGGTACAAAGGTAATGAACTCCAGGTAGATCTGGTCACAATCATGACCAAGTTACAAAGATAATGAATCATTTACGCATCTATACATGGTTACAATCATGAACAAATTATAAAGTAATGAGCAATTCACACGTCCACACCCAGTCACAACTGTAATCAGTTATTAGTGCAAATATTAATTGGGTCTCACACATGTGCGCATGCACACGCACACACGAGCGTACACACACAGGAGTGCACACACACACAGGAGCACACAAGTATTTCTTCAGCCACAGAGTAGTCAGTAAGTGGAATAGTTTGGGAAGCGATGTAGTGGAGGCAGGATCCATACATAGCTTTAAGCAGAGGTATGATAAAGCTCACGGCTCAGGGAGAGTGACCTAGTAGCGATCAGTGAAGAGGCGGGGCCAGGAGCTCGGACTCGACCCCCGCAACCTCAACTAGGTGAGTACAACTAGGTGAGTACACACGAGCACATACACACGAGCACACACATACACACGAGCACACACACACACGAGCACACACACACATGAGCACACACACACACGAGCACACACACACACACACACGAGCACACACACACGAGCACACACACACGAGCACACACACACGAGCACACACACGAGCACACACACACGAGCACACACACACGAGCACACACACACGAGCACACACACACACACACACACACACACACACACACACACACGAGCACGCACGCGCACACACACACACACACACACACACACACACGAGCACACACACAAGCACACACACACACACCACATGCACACACGCACACACACATGCACACACACACACACACGTACACACACGCACACACACACACGCATGCTCGAGCACACACCACACACGAGCACACACACACGAGCACACACACACACGAGCACACACACACGAGCACACACACACGAGCACACACACACACACGAGCACACACACACACGAGCGCGCACACACACGAGCGCGCACACACACACGAGCACACACACACACACACACGAAATCGGCCTGACGACACTGGAGGACAGGAGGGTCAGGGAGACATGATAACGACATATAATATACTGCGTGGAATAGACAAGGTGGACAAAGACAGGATGTTCCAGGGAGGGGACACAGAAACAAGAGGCCACAATTGGAAGTTGAAGACACAAATGAGTCAGAGAGATAGTAGGAAGTATTTCTTCAGTCATAGAGTTGTAAGGCAGTGGAATAGCCTAGAAAATGACGTAGTGGAGGCAGGAACCATACACAGTTTAAGACGAGGTTTGATAAAGCTCATGGAGCGGGAGAGAGAGGGCCTAGTAGCAACCGGTGAAGAGGCGGGGCCAGGAGCTAGGACTCGACCCCTGCAACCACAAATAGGCGAGTACAAATAGGTGAGTACACGAGCACACACAAGCGCACACACACACACGAGCACACACACAAGCGCACACACACACGAGCACACACACACGAGCACACACACACGAGCACACACACACGAGCACACACACGAGCACACACACGAGCACACACACACGAGCACACACACACGAGCACACACGAGCACACACACACGAGCACACACACACAAGCACACACACACAAGCACACACACACAAGCACACACACACAAGCACACAACACACACAAGCACACACACAACACAAGCACACAACACAAGCACACACACACACACACAAGCGCTCACACACGAGCACACACACACGAGCACACACACACGAGCACACACACACGAGCACACACACACGAGCACACACACACGAGCACACACACACGAGCACACACACACGAGCACACACACACAAGCACACACGCACACACACACGAGCACACACACACACGAGCACACACACACACACACAGTATCTGACAAGTTGTGCTACACGTCACTATCCACTGATGCCTATATAAACGCCAGTCTCCTTGCCTGTGCTCCAGAATCCCTACAACCACGGTGCTCTCCACACCAACTCCATGGTTGAGGGACTGATTACCTCATCTTTTGTATATAGTTCTACTGCCTTCTAATTATGTCCAAGAATCTGTATTGATAAAGCCATTGGATGGTAAAACGTCTACAATAAAGATAACCAGATGTTGCACTTGTCTTAACTTTCATCTTGTCGGTACTGTATAACTTTCTTGCACAACATGTTTCATCTTGTCCAGGATTCTACCCGTGATCTTCAAAGGTTATTAACCCAGAATAAACCATGAAACCCAAGCAGTGAGATATGCTCTACTTCCACAAAGGAACAGATACTTCCAGTCCTGCCCTAGGATGCTAACCAGAAATCAATCATTTTATTGGGATATTCACCTTAGAAGTGATCCCCCAGATGCTTGTGACCACAGGCAAGGGTACAGCTATTCAACTAGGTTGAACCAAAAGTCTACTAATACAGTGGACCCCCGCATACCATACGCATCACATAACGTTCAATCCGCATACCGCTCGCTTTTATCGCAAAAATTTTGCCTCGCATACCGCTCAAAAACCCGCTCACCGCTCTTCGTCCGAGACGCGTCCAATGTGCGCCCTTAGCCAGCCTCACATGTGCCACCGGTGGCATTGTTTACCAGCCAGCCTCCGCGGTAACATCCAAGCATACAATCGGAACATTTCGTATTATTACAGTGTTTTTGGTGATTTTATCTGCAAAATAAGTGACCATGGGCCCCAAGAAAGCTTCTAGTGCCAACCCTACAGCAATAAGGGTGAGAATTACTATAGAGATGAAGAAAAAGATCATTGATAAGTATGAAAGTGGAATGCGTGTCTCCGAGCTGGCCCAGGTTGTATAATAAACCCCAATCAACCATCGCTACTATTGGTGGTACAGCTGCTGCTGCTGCTGCACTGTCAGCTGCTGCTGCTGCTGCACTGTCAGCTGCTGCTGCTGCTGCTGCACTGTCAGCTGCTGCTGCTGCTGCTGTAGCACCGTTGTTGGTGTGGCTTATTGAGAATACCAAGAAACAATTAACCCCAGAGGATTTGCCACCCAGGATAACCCAAAAAAGTCAGTGTCATCGAAGACTGTAACTTATTTCCATTGGGGTCCTTAATCTTGTCTCCCAGGATGCAACCCACACCAGTCGACTAACACCCAGGCGAACAGGGAAAAATGCCTGGAACTAGTGCTCATATTGGTGAATTTAAAGCCAGCAAAGGTTGTTTGAGAGATTTAAGAATCGTAGTGGCATACACAGTGTGATAAGGCCTGTTCTGGAAGAAAATGCCAAACAGGACCTACAGTACTCAGGAGGAAAAGGCACTCCCAGGACACAGTGTCTCATCAGTCATTACTGCTCTTCAATAAAGGTAAGTGTCATTATATTCTTCATTTAGTAGAGTAGTACATGCACAATATATATTGTGCATGTACTACTCTACTATTGTGCATGTATCCTTCTCTTTGTGTGTAGGAAAATGTATATTTCATGTGGTAAATTTTTTTTTTTCATACTTTTGGGTGTCTTGCACGGATTAATTTGATTTCCATTATTTCTTATGGGGAAAATTCATTCGCATACTGATCATTTCGCATAACAATGAGCCCTCTTGCACGGATTAAAGTCGCTATGCGGGGGTCCACTGTACCCAGATACTTATTTAATGTCAGATGAACAGGAGCAGCAGGTGTAAGACTACTTGCTTATACACAAGATTTTTTCTTTCCAATCACTGCATTACAAAATACAGTGGAACCCCCGCTTAACGATCACCTCCCAATGCGACCAATTATGTAAGTGTATTTATGTAAGTGCATTTGTACATGTATGTTCGGGGGTCTGAAATGGACTAATCTACTTCACAATATTCCTTATGGGAACAAATTTGGTCAGTACTGGCACCTGAACATACTTCTGGAATGAAAAAATATCGTTAACCGGGTCATGCTATATATACAAATCATAACCCTTAGAATATATTCCTGGTCCTTTCGGCTGGGACGAATATATATTCACCGAGTTTAACCCTTTCAGGGTTTTCGGCTGTACTAGTACGCTTTTACCACCAGGATCCTTGACGAACTAGTACTGATAAATTCTTGCGCCTTCAAATCTTCGAAGGAAAGCTGGTAGGCCTACATGAAGAAAAATGGGTCTATGTGGTTCATTGTGAGCAAATGAAAAAAAATCCTGCGCACACAGTGCGTAATGAAAAAAAAAAAAAACTTCGACTGTTTTTGGATTAAAAACAGCGATTTGCACTGTATTTTCGTATGGTATTAATTGATTGTACATGTTAACGTATTCTAGTTTCTGTCCAACCCATTGTATAGAATGGAAGTCATATTACAGAATTGAGATGATTTGATTGGTTTTACAATGAAAGTACTTTGAAATTGAGCTCAAAGTAGCAGAAAATTATCGAATTTTTACCAAGTTCAAAAGTAAACAAATCATGCTAAGCGTCCAATACAAGTCAAATGCTGAGTAATATACTTCACAAGGCGCCGAAATTATTTTATATCATTTCTACACTAATGCAGTAGTCTGCATAACAATAAATCTTCTATTTTTGTTGAGAATAAAAAATTCAAAATGAAAGCAAAAGAAATGAAGAGGGGATGTGGGGACGTGACTAAGACCAGAGGAAATGCTATTTTAGTGCAAGGAATGTTCTTTCTTTGTTTATTCTGGACCCCATTTGGAAATGGCATCTTTTGAAATGTTGTTGTGACAATGCAAAATTGCCTAAATTCTGACCACTGTCTTGATAGTTTGAAATCGGTAAATTGTTGTTTTTTGTACTCATTCGATAGAAAAAAATGGGGTGCAGCGAAATAGTTATGAATTTATGTCGACATAGTACATTGGGAATGGGCCGCAAATAGGGCTCAAAGTGGCAAAATCGCCGATGCGTAAACATCATCGAGACTGCTAACTTTCGCGAGAGCATAACCCATAATTTTTCGATTAAATTTCATACTTTTGGTGTCATTAAAAATTCTCTAAACTTTTCATAAGAAAAAAATTTTTTTTTTTTTTAAATTTGGGGGTACACGACAACAAGTCTCTGAGAGGGTCCTGTGGACCCTGAAGGTTAATGATGCAGTGATCTGAACAGCATTCCAAGTTTATGTTGTCAGAGGTCACTCTACCTTTTTTCCTGTGAAGGTTTTTCATTACAGTATATAAAATTTAATAAAACTACTGGCAATGTGGTGCTTGGTGGCATACTTTAATCACATGAAGGACCCCAAGTTTAATCCTGGGAGAGGTAAATGTAAGTGCAAGTCTCCTAACACCTACACTGCACTGTTACTTATCAGTAAATAATACCCAGAAGTTAGACTGTTATGGGATGAATCTATAGGAGGATACATAAAAAAGAGCCCAACAGAATTAAGCTACACTGATTGGTTTTTGACAGTTAGCCTCGAACACCCTACTCCCAAGGATAAGTATCAAAATTTTTATTTTCACCATACCCTGAATCATTTTGGTGATAGCTAATGGTTACAATTTAACAAATCACCAGGTGTAGCGCAATCACTCACACAGAAGTTTCGTGCCTCGCTTTCCTGGTAGGGAGGGAACACCAGGCGTCTTTACTTAATCGCTGGCGTCCTATCAGCAAGTAGGTACTTGGTTCTTAAAATAGGACAAAAATCATCAAAGTAGGACAAAAATAGCCTAAGTTGCCCGAAATGCTCTATATAACAAGCAGCTTTCCTACATATAGTACATATGCCACTAACATCACTTATGGACTGTGTAAATTTGTATCACGTACTTGTAAAAAATATTGTTATTATTATTTATTAAAGAATGTTGCCCAGATAACTGGGCGGTTGATGGTGAATTGACCGACAAAGACACCTAAGGATGTGGCGTGCAAATCAATAAATCACAACCCACTAGAACGAAATATACTTTAAATGAAATACCCCGAAACCTGAGCGTTAACCGAGAAATAAAAGCCATTCATAAACGCTATTTTAGATGACAACAATAATATTTCCACTATAAATGAAACTTTTAAATAAATAGCAGTCTATCATCAGTCCAGAACTGAGTTTTACCAGTATATTTTGACAGAACCATGCTTATTTACTTTGTTTTTGGGAAATGCTTAAAGCTTGAATAGTGGACAATATTCATGTTAATGGTATATTCATCCCTGAGAGTTCAAAATTAGTATTATGGGGAGCGCTAAACCCTTAGGATATACACTCCTGTGGGGGAAGAGAGGTAAAAAGGCATTCAGCAACTGGATCACAGATCCAATTCCTAGAATCAAGAGCCCCTCGCAGCATCCAAGGAACCTCCCAGAGGGGCCCTGAGATATCAAAATAATATATTTTCGATCTGGTTGTCACACACGCGCCAGCTGTACATACCACACCCTCTACAGAATATCTCCTCCATTAAGGAGGGTAAGACACATGGCCCAGGTTACTGCCACACATAATATACTTACAACTCCTCGTCATCCATGTGGAGCTCTAAGTTTCAGGGAAAACCTGAAAAACGAGAGAGGATCCCAGAGGTGTCGCAGCCAGCACAGGACCGTGTATAGGAAGGTGACACTGGCAGCACCACCGCCACGATCCCTCTATATGCGATCCAATGCTTTTTATGTTATTTTTCACGGGGAGCGCTACGCCGTAGGGTTTCGCACAATACCTGGTGAAGGAGTGGAGTTCGGATTAATGCAAGGAAGAGGTGAGTAGCGTCAATTCCTTGGATGAAGAGCCGCTTACGGGATCAAAGGAGTTCAGTTGAAGAACCAATACTTCAAAATTTATGTTAAGCAAGTTATGTTTTAATTTATAGGTACTTATGAACGTCTTGATCCAGAGATGCCGTGGGCAATGAAATATAATAATCAAAATATTAAGAAATATGATTTTTATAAGAGAAAAATAATAGCTAATCACTTTTAATTGTGTAGAGAATGGTACACTAGTATCCAAAACGTGAATATCCATGAGTTGTTTCCCTGAGGCACTCTAGGCCGGGTATGTTGGAGTTCAGGTCCTGGTCTACTTGACAATACTTATTCCTTAAAATATCCAATATGAGATAGATTTTATTTTGTGGTAATGTAACAAAAGGAAAATAGTAACTTAACCCTCCAGGTAAACCCCCTCACAACTACCCAAGCTAGAATAACGTGGCGAAACTTTCCCTTACTCTGCCGGCGGAGATACTGGACACTTCCTTATATCATTAAAGTAAAGGGGAGCTGAGTGTAGGGGATCCAGGGATAACCTTTTTCAACATAATTATGAGTCACAGCCTAGTCCAACCCAACTCCGGGGGTCGATCCCCGTTACGTGAAACATTAAGAAAGTGTTTCCTTAAGACACTTTCTGCCATGTTCACTCTAGCAGTGAAAAAGGTATCTGGTGTTAGTGGACTGGGTGGGTCGCATCCTGGGACAAAATTAACCTAATTTGCGGAAAAGCTCTGCATAACAAGCAGCATTCTATATAGTAGTATAATCACTGATGTCAGCTATGGTCTGTATAATTTGTACATGTACTTGAATGCTTATGTTAAATTTGCCAGAACCGCATTTGCTAAAGAAGACAACCGGGTTGATGTGCACTTCAAGTGATATGCTCGATACAGTGTTAAACCCTGAGCCCTCTCATGAACGAAGTTTTGCAGCCTTGATCCCCTTCTCCCGAGCCTTCATATCAGTCAGTGCATAATACTAAAAAGGTATGTAACTCTTAAGTGTCCAACCGTCAGCGTGCCTCGTTGTGCTCCCGGCTTTCTGGTGTTTTCACGGTCGCTCTTACGTGCTAGAACTTTAATTTTGTGTCATCAATCCAATACAAAACTCCCTCTAGCGCCTAGGAACCAAATCTGGCGAAAACATTATATACTGATCAAAAAAGGAGAATTAGTGTGCACTTTACCTAGCAGAGTTTTACTGCCAGAGGGGAATCATAGGCCTTTTCCCGTGTGAAAAAAAATAATAATAATTGAACGTTTGTGTCAGAGGAAAGAAAGTCTCCTGAAAGCATTGAGTATGCCATAGTGAATAGTGTCTACTACAGTGGCTGCCACTAGTATATTGATGTAAGGCTAAAGTGTCATTTGAAAACAGTGAATTTGTAATGAAGTGAATAAGCCTATAGAGGCAGGTGCCAGAAGTCGCCAAGAAACTTACCACAGGTCAGCTGTTTTAATAATCTGTCCTGGCCTGCTAATGTACTACTCGCATAAAAACTAGAGATACCAGTGAATAGCAGAATACAGTGTTGTAGTAGCAACAAACCAGTATTATAATGGTACTTAGTGGAGTGGAGTGGACTTTCATTAGTTTCATCATTTTCTTGAAATACGTACGTTACTGTGAATTTCATATAACCTGTAGTTTACCAGCGGGTCGCAATATACACAACGAGAAGCAATAAATACTTACAGAAAAAGCGTCCTTCCTCCAAAATTTGCATACCAGTCAACTATAAGTGATAATATAGCTTTATTGTGGTGGAGAACGGAACAAACAAAAATAGAAAGCCAGATACAGCGATTGATAAACAAGAGGTCGTCTGTAACGTCATTGTAGGAGCTGCCAGATATCCCCGGCTCTCCACCGCAAGTTATACTTTGTATCAGTTCAAATCACATCTTACTCTCGGTAGATAATTTCGCATAGATCCTCATGTGTTAGCTCAAAACACACCGACCAGTATGTTTTTAAATAAGTGCCCACTGATCAGAGCAGATCGACTGTCCGAACGCCTTGACTGGTCCGAGCCCTTGACTGGTCCGAACCCTTGACAGTCCAACCCGGACTGGTGTCAAACAGTTTCGGTTGGACAATGAAGCAGACTGTAAACGATGGGTTTGTAGGCGCCCCTTATAAACATCAAACATTAAAAATCAGAACGTGACTGCAAGCTGTCCAACAATACAAAAGAGTTAGAAACAGAAATACAAAAAGACTAGAGCTTCATTAAAGGTTATTAATATAATATTCATGAGGTTGCTATTAGACTTGCAGTAAATCAACCATTCAAAACATTATGAAGCTGTGTGTAGTCTGTGGTCAGTCAAACAAACGGGCTACCACATGGATAAATTGTCATTTTTGTGGAAATTGGTGTCACGCTCCTTGTGCAGATATCCCAGAACTAGCTACAAGCAGTATTAAAACAGAGAAGTGTTTTTGGGTATGCCCAAATGAGGAAAATCTGTGGACTAAAATCACAAGGGTATTAAAAGAGGATAACATCAAAGCTGCTTTCATAGAAAACCTGGAAGCTTTCTACAACAGATGGGAACATAAAAAGTCCGGGCTGAATGGTACTGCCCTTGATACTGGCCATGTAGTCACAAACTGTAAGGCTGGAGGTGATGTCCTGGTAGTCAGTAAATGTAGGGCTGATAGTGCTGTCCTGGGAGACAGTAATGGTGAAGCCGGAGGTGCTGTCCTGGGAGACAGTAATGGTGAAGCTGGAGATACTGTCCTGGGAGACAGTAATGGTGAAGCTGGAGGTGCTGTCCTGGGAGACAGAAATGGTGAAGCTGGAGATACTGTCCTGGTAGACAGTAATGGTGAAGCTGGAGATTTGTCCAGGTAGTCGGGAATTATACGCAGGAAGGAATACATATAAATGACCTCATAGAGGACAGGAGCCATAGTAGGGAAACAAGTGTAGTCAAAGATAAGATAAAACAAATATTGCAAACCAGAAATACCGCAGGAAATAGCAAACAAGAGGACTCCAATAGCAATAGTGAGGATAAATTACCAAAAACAACTGGTGGGAGCTCCATTGTTGGTGCTAAGGAGGATAGGAATAAGACAGGGAAACATGCACCAACAGGGAATACAGTCACAGAAACCCAAGGCAAACGGAAACCAAGCCTGTGCACATACTATGCACTTGGTATCTGCTGGCATGGGAAATCTGGAAAAACAGATGGGACATGCAACTATGACCACCCTAGAAAATGTCATGCCCATATGACAACAGGAAAATGCAAACTCCCTTCCTGTAAGCTTTTTCACCCTGAAATGTGTACCTTTCAGTACAGGAAAGACTGTGCTATAACTTAAATTGCCAGGCATACCATCTAAAGGGGACAAAAAGATACAAAACATCCAGGCCATGGGAAAACCTGGGTAGCCACAGCCACTCAAGAGGGAGAGGTTTTTTAGTGCCAGGAAGGAAAAAAAACTGGCAGGAAATGGCAGAAATCGTACACCAAATCCAGTCATTCCTGGAGTGGAACCACAGTCGATGGCCTCCACTCCAAACCAACAGATACAGATACTAATGCCGGAAAAAAAATCCCCCCCAGTACCAACAATACCACCAGTCCGATAACATTCTTCTTTGCAAAATATACAGGGTCTAAAGCCAGCAATAAACAACAAAATACCTTTCATCCGTGGACTGCTTGCAGAGGCAAAGGCAATGTTCGCGGCTTTCACTGAGACCCCAAAAACACTTGGACAACAAAAATTTTTGTTCCCATTTACAACCTATAAAATGTGACAAGTAAAAGGAAAAAGGGGGGGGGTTGGGGGCCTGTACATTGCAGAGTCACTTGTTTGCACGAACTGCTTAACCCTCAAAGACGTAGTGGAAATTTTTTAGCAAAAAGGTCGAAAACCAAAAAACCTAGTCATTGTGGTAGTCTACAAGCCCCCGGGGATGCAACACCCGAAATTCCGGGACAGCTGTTAAAAATTGCCACTGTCTGGAAAACTTCCCAGCTCCTGCCCCAAAAAACATCTTGCTCCTGGGGGGATTTAAATTTAAAGGGCACCTAAAATGGGGAATTGCAAATAATTTAAGTTGCGTATAAACCAGGAGGCACCCCTGATGAAAACCACACCACACGAGTTTTTAAATCTGCAAAAAATTCAATTTAAACCAGCAAATAATGACCTACTAACTGGAGAATACCTAACCTCATTTCACAAACAATGATGACTGATAAGAAATTCCCAAAAAAAAACAATAACTCAGATCACAACATAATTGAGGTTCGACATGTATGCGTGGCCCCTCAACCGACAAAATGGCAGTCACGGGGGCTTCCCCAATTCAACTTCAATAACAAAACATAAA